ACAGCTACGAATGCTCAGGGGAAAAAAAAGGCCCGCTTTAGGGTGCAGATAGAAGGGCTGCTCGCCGCCCTACACTGCGCTTCACAGCTGGCCTCACAGAGCTTCTTACCGCTTGGGAATCGTGGTTACCTCCCCAGCTACCGACTTGCAAACCCTAAACCCCAAATCCTAAACCCTTAACCCTAAATCCTAAACCCCTAAACCCTAAACCCCTAAACCCTAAACCCTAAACTCTTCCTTCCGCAAGACCCAGGCCTTCAAGTTAGTTTGGGGCCTTCATAATTAGCATGGGGTTTGGGGGGGGGGGGGTCCTTTTTATAGTTATGGTAAAATGGGCACCAAAACCCGATTGTAACTATTAAGGCCCCTATAGTACCTGTTTGGGGTTCCTCGTTGTGATTTCTTGGGGTGAAAGCTTGGGCTTGTGGGTTCAGGGTCCAAGATTTTGCCGGCAAGCTCCTGGTTCAACAACTGTGAGCTGGTTTAAGGATGATGATTCCACGGTTTGGGGTTCAGGGCTTAGGGTTTAGGGTTTAGGGTTTAGGATGATGAGGGCTTAGGGCTTCATTGGGTAGGTTATCAAGTCCAGATCAGTAGATATGATGCAGCAGAAGCTTTGTCTAGAGTGCTTTAAGGAGTTGTGTATTTAGGGTTTACTTGAGCTTATGAGTCATATGGGTAGTTCTCTAAGTTATATAGGGTCCCTCTTCAGGTCCCCAATATAGTACACCACCGTTTATCAAAAGGACCCTAAATTAAAAGCGACACTGCTTTAGACAACTAATATAGGGGGCTTATACTATACTATTTTGGTGGTTCCTTGTTATAATTATAGTATAATATACCCCGAAACCCCTATTCTAATTATTAAGCCCCCCTACATTACCCATATGTTCAGGCCACGGGTTGGCTCTCACATATCTTGGGCCCGGTCTTGCGCGGAAGAGCCTCACCAGAGAGCTTAAACCCCTAGGGTTTAGGGTTTTAGGGTTTAGGGTTTAGGGTTTAGGGTTTAGGGTTTAGGGCCGAACCCCCAAAAGTAAATAGAAGCCAGAATCATTGTCAACAGCCTTCCTGAGGGTTCCTTATATGGGAGTTTTCGAAAATTAGGGGTACCTTATCTTGGGGTCCTGTAAGAAGGATCCTACTATTTAGGGTACTATATTAGGGTCCCCTATTTTCGGAAACCCCCATATATATATATATAGCATAAAGACCCCCAAAGTCTCTATAGCGCCTACATTATTCAGGATGAACACCGACCCGGCCTCCGACAGCCGACGCGCGTCAAGTTTGCCCTGGGCGTCTTCACTGGCGTGGCGCTCGTTGGATCCCTGTCCATCGCAGCTCTGTGGCTTCGACCCCGTTGAGAAGTTGTCGTCCCCTAAGAGTCTTAAAGGGCTAAACCCTAAACCCTAAACCCTAAACCCTAAATTAGGTAGTATGGGAACCTGATTAAGAAACCCTAGGGTTCTCAATATGAGTCCTAATATATTGGGGGGTGATAGGGCTAGGGTGTGTTAATCAGGTTCCTACATTACTTAGGGGTGGGAGAGTAACCCTAAACCCTAAACCCTAAACCCTAAACCCTAAACCGTAAACCCTACCCGTAAACCCTAAACCCTTGTATAGTTTACTATTGGGGTGAGTACATGATTGTTTCGTACATGGATCCTCAGGGTTCGCGCGCCAGGTTATGCAAAGAAAAGTAATTACCAAGATTATTCCTTAGAGTTCCGTTTAGGGTTTAGGGTTTAGGGTTTAGGATTTAGGGAATATTCCTACGCTACAGGGGAGCCCAAAACCTCCAAGCTCAAGCCGACCACCCTGCTCGCCCTCAGCCCCGAACCCTAATCCCCACCCAAAGCCCTGAGCCATTAAACCCTAAGCCCCTCAACCGTAAATTTACACCTTAACAGAGCCCGCAGCGCCCAATCCTAACACCGAACTCTATTTAGAACAGGTTTCTTTTAAAGGCTCCTTCAAGGGTTCCATAAGCGATAGTACAAGGGTGTAGTATAGAGGCCTTTATAATTTCAATTGGGCTTCGAGGTAGGTTGCACAATATCTTTACCAGGGATAGCAGGGGCCATAAGGGAATAGTATTAGAATGTATTGGATATGCCGTGTTCTGGACGAGGAACGCTATCGTCGCCATGGACAAGCGATTGATGCAGGTCTTCGAGCCATCGTTTCCAGTACTCAACCCGCTGCTGTTCCTCATGCTTTCAGGTGGCACAGGGCTTCCGCGCCATAAGCTTAAACCTGAAACCCAAAACCTGTTGGGGTCTAAGTCAGGGTTCTGGGCATTCAAGACCTCAAGATATCCGGAGCCGTGCAGAAAGCCAGAATTCCACAGTCTACCACCAATGATGGATGTTCCGTCAAGGCAGTGCTCATTCTCCCTGGCAAGCTTGGGCTGTTTAAAAAAATCAAGAACGATTTTGGGATTCAAATTCTATGTAGCTCCCCCCTCCCCTGTGCCCTGTGTCTTGGTCCTCGGATCATGCAGGTTTCACGGCGAGGTCGCTTTGGACCACCATCCGCGGCCCTCGGAGTGATGGAAGGAATAGAAGAATATCTTGGATCGAGGCCTAGGGTTTAGGGTTTAGGGTTTAGGGTTTAGGGTTTAGGGTTTAGGGATCTTGGATCGAGGCCTTCAGCGCCACTGGACACTTGTTCCACGTCAAGGTTGCTTTGTTCGAGCTCCTTCAGCTCCTGGGTGGATCTTCAACTTTTTGGATTCTAGGTCTAGGACCCCTTTACTAAAACTGAAAGTTAGGGTTTAGGGTATAGGGTTTAGGGTATTGTGTTTGCCAATGAACTGAGCAAGTAAGGCTCATCAACCAGGCGAGGAACTTGGTCAGGCTACTCTTCATCGGGCAGGCTGCTCCCCCAACCCTCAACTCCGAACCTTACACCTGAACACAAAGCCCTCAACTCCAAGCCCTAAACCCTTAGGGTTTACGGTTTTGGGTTTCAGGGTTTAGGGTTTACTTACAACCGTAATGATTTACTAATGCAACTCTAAACCCTGAATCCTACACCCTGTTCTCTCATCGGGCCAGGCGGCTTCTTGGCTCTGCGCCTACTCGGGGCTCATTTGCCTGAACGCTGTGGTGACTCCCATCCTGCACTTTTCTCCCAGAGCCACGGCTGAGGGTTCTGCAAAAAGGGTGTTGGGGTTTGGGGTCGAGGGTTTTGGGGTTTAGGGTGCTGTAGGCCGTTTGCAAAACGGGTTTCGGGTTTAGGGTGGTGGTGATAGTAGCTGTGGCAGTAGTCGTCGTCGTATTAGTAGTAGTAGAAGCAGAAGTAGAAGTAGAAGTATTGGAGAAGAAGTAGAAGTTACTAGTTTAGCAGCAGCAGTAGTAGTAGTAGTAACAGCAGCAGCAGCAGTAGTCCCCGGTTGCACCCTTTACCGTTTAGTTCTGGCGGGCCCTTCCTCTTAGAGTAAATCCCCTAAAAGGGAATTGCCGCACTATGATGATGGGGACGTTTTGTCATAGGGACCCTTAAAAGGAGGGAAAGGGGTAACGGGCCTTGATACCCGCAGTAAGGAGCTAATAAGGCCTATGCTTGGGGGGAACCGAGGAGTCCAAAACAACACATTCTTCTTGATCCTCTTTGATGCACTGATTGACACCACATTCGGGGCATTCCTGCCCGCTTGCATGGTGGTGGAGGTCACCTCTCGATGGTTATCGGCGAATGTGGACGACAGCATCTTTATGGACAGGCGTAAATTAGTGCCGGGGTCGGCATATGCACACCAAGCCAAATCCCTAAGCCTTGATCCCCGTATAAGCCCCCTGCCTTAATTAAATCCATATCCCCTCAGCCCTGAGCCCCAACCCATCATGCCTGGGCCCCAAGACCCTTCTGAAAGGACTTCTTGTGACAGTTAAGACGTTCACAGACAAACGGAGCATAGGTACAGGGACTGTTGGCCGCGAGAAGCATCTGTCCGACAAGCAATACCCAACTGGCTTCGCTCACTTGGCCCTATATCTCATTGTGGGTGAAGTTTCTGGGCCACAGAATGCAGTGTTTGTGACACCGGGGTGTAGGGTAGGATTCCTGCTTCTAAGACTTCAGGGTGCTACTTTGTATGCTCAATCAGGGTTTAGTAGTTCACTGATTCAAACTAGGGCCGGAATTAATTGAGGGTCCGCGCAGGTTTAGGGTGCAGGGTTCTTCGGAATCTACCCTGCATGTCGGGGGTCAATACCAGCTTCTGGGATTTGAATGCAGGTAGGGTTAGAAGGCTGTGGACCGGGGACTGGCACCAGGCTGTGTTCGGTCTTGGGTTTCGGGATTTGGGGTCTTGCGCGGTTCAGGGTCTCAGTGTAGCCTGACAAAGCCTGTCTGCATGTTCTGGTAAGTTGTCCAGATTCCAGGCTCGTCGACCTCCACCATGCGCGCGAGTTTTGGTCAAACAAAGGACTCTACCTAAAGCATGTTGAACCCCAGAAGCCCAGTTGACTACAGCTGTGTAACTTTACTCTCCTTATTAAACCCTTTCCGAACCCTAAGCCCTAAACTCTTTCAGAACCCTAGTCCCCAGATCCCAAGCCCCCCCTAGACCTGTCTGTACCAGGAGTGATAGACCAAAGGCGACGGGTTTGCGGTCCCTGGATCTTCGGGCTGGCATACCTAGTCACTGGACTTACGGTGGGCCTGCTTGGACTCACTGCCAGGCCAGCGAACTCGACTTAGAACAGGGTTGGCAGTCTAGAGAATAATGGAGGTGGGTTCTTATAGGGTTACCTTAAGAACCTAAATAAAACCCACTTTTTTGTAGGTTCTTATTATAAACCCTAATATGGGATTTATAGGGACCCTACAAAAACGTAGGTTTTGGGTTCTTATAGGGTTACCGTAGGCTTTAGCGGCAGCCGCAGCAGCAGCAGCCTGAGGAGCGCAGCGGCAGCAGCATCAACAGCAACAGCCGTAACGACAACGACGACATCACCGTGTCAACCAGAGCAACAGTAAGACTGTGAGCAAGCACAGGGGTTGAAGCATTATTATTTTATTCATCATCATAAAGCAGTGCGAGCAACCTCCACAATGCCAGCGGCAATGACAACATCAAACACAACACCGCCAAAAATTGCTGCGGCCGCCGGTAGCACCGCCACCAACAAAACCAGCACCAACGGCAGCCAGAAGAAAGGATGCCTACTAAGTTATTACAACTTAACTTGGGCCATAAACATGAAAATGCTGCCAGGTTGCGATCCCCATGTTGGATCAAGAGCTGGGCGGACGGCTGCAGTGTCTTCCGGTTTGATCTTTCCGGGAGCTCCTGCGAATGTGCTTACTTTGAGAAGCTGGCATTACAAAAGGGTTTGGGGTTTAGGGATGTTTGGGATTTAGGGTTTGGGGTTTAGGGTTTGGGGTTGATGGTTTGGGGTTTGGGGTTTAGCGACGCTACCGGTGTACAAGTCCCTTTAGAAGCCAAGGATACCATTCCAATTAGCGAGGCCCGGCCCTACGGCATGCTGCCTCCTGCATGATCTGAGGAAGCACTACAAGTGTGTCGACGAGGCGGTGCTGCAGGAGATGCTTCGGGAGTCGCGACTGCTAGGGGTGCTTTCGCTGAAGGGTTGCCCAGAGCTCCGGAAGCTGCCAGGGACTCCAGCAGTCGCCTGTTTCCTTTTTCGTTCTGGAATCGCCTTGTTGAAACTGGATGCTACAAACATGGTGCCCTCTAAGCCCCAAACCCCTAAACCCTAAACCTTAACGCAAAACCCAAAACCAAAACCCTAAACCCTAAACCCTAAACTCTGAACCCAGGCTTCCACCCCTGTCCCACAACGTCGCGCTCCAGTATCTGGTCCTGAACACCAACAGCCTCGAGGAGCCTCCCCAGTCCTGTCCTTTGAACATAGTTAGGGTTTAGGGTTTAGGGTTTTCTTTTACAGGGTTCCGTTAAGGGCTACTATAAGGGCTTAGGGCTTAGGGCCTAAATGATTACCTATCTTATCTTTTTTTTTTGGGGGGGGGGTCCTTATTATAGCTATAGGAAAAATACCACCAAACCCCATTCTAATTATTCAGGTCCCTACAGTAGGCGTTTAGGGTTTTTTTGCCTCACTACCCGAAACCCTTAAGCCTAAACCCTAAAGCCTAGACCCTAAACCCTAAATCCCTAAGGCCTTCAATGAAGTCCGGTTCCTTGAAAACCCAATTAGGGTTTATCTTGGGCTATTTTCCGGATCTACGGGGTTCAGGTTTGGGGGCCTTTTTGTTTTAGGGTTTATGATGATCTTCAGCTGGGATAGCGGGTGCAGACAGTTGTTCATAGGGTGGTTCCATGGCGGCTGACATGTCGGTCGATTCTGTTTTATCACCAACGCACAAACCTTCGGTCTGTCAGCTCCGGGGTGTACAATGCTGACCTGGTAACTTGAAAGGTTTGGCTTCACACGTGCGACTCAAGGGGCATCGACGTAGCCCTCCCTTAAGCCATAAAGCAATCGAAGAAATCAAATGGGCTGTTCCACAGCCTATTC